CCTAATTAAACAAAAAAAAACCCTAACCCTACTTCTCGGCTCTCTCTCTCCCTCGCGGCAGTCACAGCGTCGCCCCGCCGTCCCTCCTTCGACGTCGGCAGTTTCCTAGCGGCGGCACTCCCCCCCTTCTCCCTTCGGCTCTCTCTTCTCTCTAATGGCCGAAAGCGAGGTTACCTCCAACTCCAGTCCGGCAAAAACCCCTCATCTTGCCTTCGCGACGATCTCTAATGTCAAACTTCATGTTCCGGTTCTTCTCAGCCTCTCTCAACCGAACTACAAAAAGTGGAGTCGCCTTTTCCTCCTCTTGGTGCGCCGATTCAATCTCCAAGGCTACATCAATGGCTCCATCGTCCCTCTCTCTGAAGACGATGATGAGTGGCTCCAACTCGACGCTCTCCTCCAGGGATGGATCTTATCCACCATCTCCGACGAAGTCTCAGATCTGGTTATCTCTTCTGTCTCCACCGCNATTATTTCTGGACTTCAGACAAAGCTTGGGAATCAGACCTCCTCCACATCCGACGTAGCCGGGAGCATGTTAAATATATTGTATATATTTAATATATTGTATTATTCCCTTACCTTATTTGTATAGGTTTCCTTACTTGTGTCTCTCCTACTTTGATTAGGATTGAGACTCCCCTTATATATATACATGTAATCACAACTCTTTCAATTAATGAAAATCATAATTCTTCAGTAAGTAATAAAAGCCTATTAATACATGCCAATAAAGGCTATTAATACCGTAAATGTTCAAAAATAAAAATAGAATGGAAATCTATTTCAATAATAAAGGCAAAAAGGTAAGAATTAAATATTCTTACCGTTTAAATATTCTTACCATTTCAAAAATATCTTGAAAACAAAAAACTTTCCGTTTCAAAAATAAAAAAACAATTCGTTTAAAAAATAAATCCTTTGTACTATATTTAGCTTTTTAGTATTATATACTATAAATACGGTCCTTTCCAGACCCTTCGTAGTAAGACAACTCAATGTGTGTTTTTATTAAGTGATTCAACATCACCGACGTCTACGAGCATGGAGATCTTAACCTCTTTAAAAAATGTTGATGAGAGGTCAGCACTATTGATGATGAAACTAAGAGCGATAAGAGTTTATCACGTTCCTGCCCATTCTCGGGGGCTGGAATCATTGGATGTTATTTTTCACGGCTTAGAGGTTAGTCTTCATTATTTTATATTTTACATATAAATCTTAAAAAAACTTTGAATTTAATTATATGTAAATGTTTTCCATTTGTTGTTAGGGCGATCGAATCCATGCTCAGATAAGAGATTCTAATATACGCACATTCAAAGAAATTTTGCAAGAAAATGTTGTTTATTTACTGATGAGAGTCAAGATATTGCGCAATTTCTAAAGCACAAAAACTACCAATCACCCTTGCATGTTGTAGTTTTTTGGCAGGACCAAGCTTCAAAAACTCTCGGAAAATGGATTTCCTAATTTCCGATACAACTTTAAGAGTTTTGAAGAGATTCACAAAACAAGGATTGCTTACACTGTCCTTTTAGTTGGTAAAAGTCATTTACATAACTCAAATACTTACACATATTAAATACATTTAATAAATTATATTTATTAAATTTATAGAAAATCTATATTTCTGGATTTTTAGATTTAATCGGGAAGGTCGTTAGCCGAATCCCGCTCAAAACCCGTATGGTAAATCATGCTCCAGAGCAAATGATGGAAGTTACATTAGAGGACTACATGTATGTGACTTTTACTACCTCCGTCCAAAATTATTTGTCACATTTCTATTACCGAGGCAAAATATCAAATTTTTTCAATTTATTTTATTTACATATTGGTAAAGAAATAAAAAACAAAAATTACATATCAAAAAACTACATGAAAAGTTCTTCGAAATAAGAGGTGTCAAGAATATTTTATTTTATCAAATAACCAATGAAAACGTAGAAATAAACAAAAGTTCCCGTGATTGTTGAAAAGGCAAATGTGGCAAATAATTTGGGATGGAGGGAGTATTTTATATATTTTATATAAAAAAATCATTCCCGATTTATATTTATAATCTTAATTTGACCATAATTGTTATCGAATTAAGATTATAAATATAAATCGGAAATAATTTTTTTTATAAAATGTATGAAATAATAGTCACATACATGTGGTCCTCCAATGTAACTTCCATGATTTGCTATAGGAGCATGATTTACCATACGGGTTTCGGGCGGGGTTCAGCTAACGACCTTCCCGATTAAATATGAAAATCTGGAAATATAGATTTTCTATAAATTTAATAAATATAATTTATTAAATGTACTTAATATGTGTAAGTATTTGAGTTATGTAAATGACTTTTACCAACTAAAAGAAAAGTGTCAGTAATCCTTCTTTTCTGAATCTATTCAAAACTCTTAAAGTTGTATCAGAAATTATGAAATCCATTTTCCGAGAGTTTTTGAAGCTTGGTCCTGCCAAAAAACTACAGCATGCAAGGGTGATTGGTAGTTTTTGTGCTTTAGAAATTGCGTAATATCTTGACTCTCATCACTAAATAAACAACATTTTCTTGCAAATTTTCTTTGAATCTGCGTATATTAAAATCTCTTATCTGAGCATGGATTCGATCTCCCTAACAACAAATGGAAAACGTTTACATATAATGAAATTCAAAGTTTTTTTAAAAGATTTATATGTAAAATATAAAATAGGAGTAATGAAAAACTAACCTTTGAGTCATGAAAAATAACATCCAATGATTCCGGCCCCCGAGAATGGGCAGGAACGTGATAAACTCTTATCACTCTTAGTTTCATCATCAATAGCGCTGCCCTCTCATCAACATTTTTTATATCAGCTAAGATCTCCATGCTCATAGACGTCGGTGATGTTGAAGCACTGAATAAAAACACACGTTGAATTATCTTATTACGAAGGGTTTATTTTTTAAACGAATTGTTTTTTTATTTTTGAAACGGAAAATTTTTTGTTTTCAAGATATTTTCGAAAAGGTAAGAGTATTTAAACGGTAAGAATATTTAATTCTTACCTTTTTGCCTTTATTTTTGAAATAGATTTCTATTCTATTTTTATTTTTGAACATTTATGGTATTAATAGCCTTTATTGGCGTGTATTAATAGGCTTTTATTACTTACCATGAAAACATCACGATTACTATATATAATAACATAACATCTCTTGAAACAGAAATTTAAAATTTTTAAACGAAAATTCTAATTTTTTTATTTTTGAAACCGAATTTTTTTCTTTCCAAACAAATTTCCAATCTATTTTTATTTTTCAACATTTACGATATTAATAGCCTTTTATTGGCGTGAAATAAAAAATCGGGTTGAACATTTACGTAATAAAATATTATTGGAACGGAAATTATTAGCCTTTTATTACTTACCAACATCACAATTACCATATGTAATGGCCTAACATCTCTTGAAACGAAAATTTAAAATTTTTAAACGGATTTTTTTTATTTTTGAAACAGAATTTTTTTTCCCAAGTTTACAGTATTAATAGCCTTTATTGGCGTGTATTAATAGCCTTTTATTACTTAATATGTAAACATCACAATTACCATATGTAATGGCATAACATCTCTTGAAACGAAAATTTAAAATTTTTAAACGAAAATTTTATTTTTTATTTTTTCAAACAGAATTTTTTCTTTCCATTCTATTTTTATTTTTCAACATTTACGGTATTAATAGACTTTTATTCGTGTGAAATAAAAAATTGGATTGAACACTTATGTAATAAACTATTATTGTAACGGAAATTAATACTCTTTTATTACTTACTATGTAAACATACACTTGCCTTACTTTCGTTGTGAACAAAACTTAAGGTCCGTTCCGTAGGACTTATTTTTTCTACTTATTAGTTATTCTTATTAAAATTAGATCAGATCAGATTAGACCTAATCAGATCATATCAGGTCCAATCAGATCAGATCCAATCAGATCTAGTCAGATTAGACTCGGTCCAATCAGATCAGATCAAATCACATCAAATCCAAGAATATCAAATCAGAAAAAAATATAAAAAATATTTCTATTTTTCAAGGATTAAATAATAATTACTATTATTTGATTAAATTACATTACTTTATTCAAAGATACACATGCATAAATCTTAATTAATATTATCATTTTAACTATTATTATTGTTATATTATTATTGTTATATTATTGTTGTTGTTGTTGTTGTTGTTGTTGTTATTATTATTATATTTCAACCACAAACCATTATTTTTAATAATTGCTCAGCTTGTAGAAATGATGCATGGAAGTAATGTTAAAGTTTAAAAAGTCGTATTTTTCAAACTTAAAAAGAGTTGTTTTAAAATACTTTTTTATAAAATAATTATACAAAACTTAGTTTTCAAAACCATAAATATGTTATGCTTAAAAAAGCTTACTTTTAAACTTTAAGATGGTATAATATATACAAAGATGAGTTTGTGACAAATTTGATAGAGGTAAAAAAAATATTGGTGTTTAAGATTTTATATGATATTTAATTTGTAACATGAAAATATATTATTATGTAATATGCAAATAGAATGCATTTTTTTTAAAAAAAAAACATATATGTTTCTAATATTTGGTTATTTTAATGACGATTATTTAGCTTTCACAAAAATTCAAAAATTAGTGATATTGAAAAGATATTTAATATTTCAAAAAAAGTTTAAATATGTCAACAATTAGCTGATTTTGTTATTTTACTTTTTTTATGTATGTATGAATTGTAATACTTTAAAACTATTAAATTTGTAATAATTTTAAGTTTAATTTAAATCAAATTTAAATTCATTTACACAAGATCTAATTAAATAAAATCAGATTCAATCAGATTAGATCTGATTCCATCATATCAGATCCAATCAGATCAGACTTAATCAGATCAAATCAGACTCAATCAAATCAGATTAGAACTTCAAAAATTCAGATCAGACGAATAAGCATAAATTTATAAAGTTTGGATCCCCTTTCACCCATTATTGCTGAACTTGGAGTGGAAAGTAAAGCCACGCTAGAAGAGTGAAAAGGTCTTAAAGTTGGCCTTATTTCTCCAACATATACTCTAACAACATCGGAGAGAATCAATCAATGCTCTAAATTTACTTTATCTACTCCACTTTCAATAGAATTACAAAATCATCAAGGCCACGTATAGAAACCCAAACCAGGCTGATCGTATGAAGTCCCAATAAAAGAGAGTATTTTTTCCTTCCAGTAAACACAACTTTACAGCTCCAAAACACCCCTACAAACAGAAAAATTAGATAAGAAATGGGTCTCCATGCAATCATAAGACGGGGGGACGTACAATTGCAAATACTCGCTCTATCCCGAAAAAGTTCCACATTTGTTTTTTTTCATTTGTCCCGAAATAGGTTTCAGTTTTGTTTTAAGGAAAGAATTGCATGGTTACAGTATTTCTCTCTCATGTGCATTTATCGTGTTTCACCTTTCTCGTTAACCATGTCAGGTCAACTGTGGAACCTTATATAGGGACGGAGGGAGTAGAGCTTACTAGTAGTCCTTAAGATATCACCCTAAATATGAGTAAAACATAGAGAAAATATCAAAATAGGAGCTCCATCTTTTTATTCCTGATAGAATTTAGGATGGGTATGGACAACTGGACTGGGTAATAAGACACTTGGGTCGAATCACATTAAAAGATTGAATCCAATCTATTAGTTAGTTTAACTCAAGAGCTTATATACCGGATTATTTTACTCTTGGACTTCCGATGTGGGATGCACTCTAACACTCCCTCTCAAGTGGACAACTGGGTCATTTTGAATCTAACCGGTTGACCACTTGCAAATGAACTCCCATTCTCTTAATATTTTTTTGAGCGCCAACTCCTAAAGGACCACGAGCCGCTGGGTATGGACTTCCAGACGAGCAATTGTGTTAAACGGGCCACAGGCCGTTGGATACATACTCCATACGAACAACTGGGCTAAAGACTAACGGGCCGCTAGGAATGAACGTCTAGACGGACACCTTGACAAACGAGGTGGGCCAAAACCTGCTCTGTTACCATGATAGAATTTAGGATGGGTATGGACAACTGGACTGGGTAATAAGACATTTGGGTCGAACCACATTAAAAGATTGAATCCAATCTATTAGTTAGCTTAACTCAAGAGCTTATATACCGGATTATTTTACTCTTGGACTTCCGATGTGGGATGCACTCTAACAATTCCCAAAATAGGACTTTGCAGTGTGATAATGCGGGCACTGTATATTGACATTTCACAATACATTTTGGTATTATATATTGGCATGATTGGCATTGTATATGCATTTTAGCTCCTATTTGTGAATAAAAAAACACAGCACTCTTTTTTGGTATATTTTCTATGTTTTATTCATATTTTAGTCTTTTTCCCTTACTACTAGGCACCAAAGAGAAGACTGTACTTACCTTAGCATTTCCTCTCAAGACACTAACGCCGCATACTTCCCAGGGTCGATAGAGAGGAAAAAGAATCTAAGATTACCATGTGAGACTCCAGAAAGTCCTCTATTTAACAGTAGAGTTTGCTGAGGCGGCAGTGGCCTCGGCAATCAAAAGAGCGGGTTGACGAGCCTGTAGACAAGCACCTATATCGAACGGGCGCAACTCAAATCCATCGAATATAAGATTGACACCGGGATGAATCACTTCTTTACTCTCAGCATCATCTGACTCGACCTTAAGACTACTTGTTGAGGTAGATTCATCAACAACTCTGGTAGCAGCCTCGTATACAGGAGTTAGAGCATAAGATCTGCAATGGCCAATTATCAATCCTCTTAGCTCATTTTATTAAGTAGAATCTTTTTCTGGCCATGAACTGAAGGGGAAGATGTACATTTTTTGTTCAAACACATACTACCTATGTCCCATAAAAAGAGTCCTCTTTCTCAACATACTTTTGTCCCATAAAAAGAGTCGAGTTTCAAGAAATGATGTTAATTTTTCTTCATATTAAATATTCTTAAATAAAAACATATGCCAGACCAGGTAAGTATGTTGGATTTAGTTCACTTTTACTTCACTAACAAATAAATTTGGAAAAAAGAAGTCTTAATCTGATGATTTCCATTAGTTGTACCTCACCAAAATTTAAAAGTTGTACACTTAAGAAATAGGGCTCTTATTATGGGACCTGATCTGAAATGAAGAAGGCTATTTCTGAATTACAAGCCCATATTGTGGTCACACACATAAGAGTGAAGCTTACTAACTAAAGCTGCACTCCAGTTGAAGGTGGAAGATATATTCAGGGCATGGCATAAATCAAGTAATTCTACAATAAGCCTTTTGTTTCAAAAGATGAAAAATATAGAGCACATAGAGTTTCATGCATTGATCAAAATGAACTCATTAAGTTATAAACACAAACAAAAGAGTGTTTCCTGCCATATTTATATAGGGGATAATATGCCTTGTCCATCATATAAAACAGAAAAAAATGTGGATATAAACAAAAAAAGACTTACCTCAAAATATTGCCATCAAAGCTCAGAACTTCTGTTCGGCACCGTTGTCTGTTAGCAAGCTTTAACCTATGGTGTTCACTCATGCTTCCAGAAATAGGAGATGAAGGATCCACAAGAGGGTTCCACCTTCCACTTGCATAAGTCATTAGCTGCCGTGATGATTCCTTGGTTTGCTCTTTTTGGTAAAGTAGTCGTGCTGCCGGGCCTGTTGCTCGGTATTCATCGCACACACTCCGCAACGTTTTTCTTAACTCTTGCATGGCATCATGATGCCTAGTAAATAAGTCCATTTGGAGCAATTGCGATGAAACAACCCTTTTACATATGTTACTGCATAATGTAGGACTAAATAGTGGAATACCGAATTCTACGCTCATGGGAACCCATTCATACTTGGTGTCATCTGCAAAACTTTCTGAAACTCTTTCTTTGAAAAGCCTTACTAAGCGAATATAACCAATGCTACAGAGATTCAATTTATTTGCAAGATCACTTAAAAGAGAGTTCAAATTGAAAATTTGTTCAGACTGCAATCCCATTTCCTCCTTTATGTTTGCTGTTGAGCCATCAGAGTTCATCAATGGTAAGGGAATCTCCAAAGTAACAATTTTTCCACCCTCATCAAGGTCATATCTGCTAAGAGGCTGGACAAGCACAGCAGCATATTTGAGAAGGGAATTCAAACAGTGCAAAAGTACACCGCCTTTAACTAAATTTCCTTCGGATTTTCCTCCTAACCCACCAACAGAAGACCCATCCCAAGACCATATAAGGGCCTTTTCACAGCCGGCCAATGGTGCTGGAAGCATCCTTAAGCATTGTCCTTTCATTAAAACAACTGATAGAGGTCCACACCGCATAGCTGAATATAGGCTCAATTTCATCCAGGGAGTCATAGAGGAATAGGAAGGAGGCCCAAAGTGAAGAGGACCTTTCGGCCCAGGCAAAACTGCAGAGGGAGGAAGTGGAACCATGGATACAACAATGTCATAGTCACGGAGAAACAGACGATCCAAAGTTCCTGCTGAGAGAGCAGCCAGGCTTTCACAGCGGAGAACATCAACACGGTAATTTCTTTGTGTCATCATTCCCTTCCCAACTTCTACACTTTCAGTAGTTACCAATTTTTCCTCGAGTTGAGAACTAAGATCTGATTGAGGATCCCCGGCCAAATTGTCACCATTTTCAGCTGTAGTCTCCAATGGATTATCACCATCAAGACTACTGACTCGCTCAGAAGCATCCGTAGTACCTTTGGGAGGTTCATTATAATCACAATCATCAGCATTTAGTTCAGATACAGATGTAGTTAAATCTCCTGATTCAGTGGTTGATGGAGTTCCCACCATCGAGGTGGTTGCCTTATGGTTAGTACAAGACAGAACTTCATCCTTAACTCTATCAGTTTGAACCCCACCTGATGTTAAGCACTCCAAGACACACCGGAGACTAAAAGCATGATTCGCAAACTCCTGCAGTTCTCCTTCAAATTTGGTTCCCTCTAGTGTACTCAAATCATTACAAAGATCTGCAATGCTATCATGACCAAGTTTCCCTGCTTCATATAGTGTCACAGCATGAGATTTTAGACCTGCAAGAGAAATCAGTCATCAACATATGTGTTGTAAGCACTAGCTAATTATACTGATTAACTGAAACAGGTCATTAACATAAATCAGCACAAACTTTGACTTCCCAAAGACGATATACTACTATGATTTAGCAGATATTGGAGGTGAAGATTTAAGAGCACTACAATGTTTCCAGATGCAAACACACAGTCAAGAAATTGATACGGTAATAGTATCAAAACTTTCCTCAGAACATTTCAATGCACATATGTTTGCATTTGTTATACGGAGTATTAGTTAGTAGTATTATACTTGGTGCCCAATCATACTCAAAAGATAAGTTTGATCCTGGCTCAGAAAGAATACTAGATATATGCTGAACACATGCAAGTCGAATGTTGTTTTCGGGGAGCTGGGCATAAGGAAAATAGGCTCCTAGCTAAAGGTAGCTTGTCTCGCCCAGGAGGTGAGAAGAGTTGAGAACAGTTCCCTATTCACATTTGAAAAATTCTGTGAGGCAATGTGAACAAAAAAATACAACCCTGCACACAGGCAAACAGATAATGCCCAACAAATAGAGAAAAATGAGTGTACTCTCAATACTTTTCTTCTTTGTGGATACAATGAAATGACAATATTATTTATAATAGGAGAAAATGAGAGTGGAGAAACCTGGTGAAACAGATCCCATCATAAGATATGAAGTGATATTAGCATCCACAAGAAAAGCAACACGAGTATAACCAGAAGCCACACATTGATTTTCTGTCCAAGGAATGTCTCCTTGCACGAAGCCACTACCATCACTGAGAACATTTGCAGAGCCCAGAGGAGCACGAGAACCATCATCCTCGTCATTAGTGATGCTTTTGGGTGAGCCAGGTACAGTTGAATCCTGTAGAATAGATGCTGGATCTAGTAGTTTTATAGCCCACCCCAATCGGCAAGCAAAAGAAGCTGCTGCTTGAAGCTGAGAGAGGTCTGCCTGTAAAGTTGTGGCTAATTCAGCAACAGTTGAATTCTCACTCAACACCACAAAAACAGCATAAAGCAACCTGAACTCAGAAGCAGAAAACATAACATTTAGTTTTATATGGAATGTCGGATACAATATTTAATGAAAAATTCTTCAGTTGACTAGGGTGCCTTACTCCTCAATTGGATCTTCATAGGACTGCTCCCGGTTTGAAACAAACCCTTCAAGTCTGGAAACTGAAAGATAGTGTGTATCAATATTCAACTATTAAGCTCTTAATTGTTGACTGTGAAAGCAATTTCAGAAAAAAAACCAAAAAAAATATCGTAAATATTTAAGAAAAAAACAAGACAATGAAGACAGACTGAGCTCCGTCCTGTGGTTTATCTCAGTAGTCATTGATATTCCAATAAATCTTGTGTAATGCCACAAAAGCAATTTTCTTATAAAAACACATCAAACAACGCGTCAATCAATTAAGCTCTGGGTGAGATACTAGATATCCATAATCGGCATACAAAAGATTCAAGGAGCATAATCAAATGAAGATTTTTATAGTGGGAAACAGCAGCAAGTTAAGTGTCAAACACTAAGTGTATAAATGTCATCAATACATTAAGCACTGAATTCTGCATCATATATGATCTTTTTGTCATGTGACTGAAAATGCAACATAACAGAATAATATGGAGGCTTGTCATATTTCATACTCCCTTCGTCCCTAAAAACTGTCAAATATTGATAGAATACAAAAATTAGGAGACACTATTTTGTTCACAATGGAACTTGGACATTTACTATTGGTAATCATCATAGAAAATTCATTTGCTATTATTTGTGAGAACATGCAACTCACAATTTCAAGGATGCAATAAATAGGAATGATGAGTGATTCCAAAGTGAATTTGACACGTACTGGAAAACAAAAAAGTTAACACTTGACACTTTTTTAGAGACAGGGGGAGTAATTATTGAAATTGATGGATATTGGTTAAAACCCAAAATTCCAAGAAAACATTAATATCTTCAGCCAGACAACAGATGATTGCTAAAAGCCAAAATCAAGTGTCTATCATAAACATAGTTAGTTTTATTGAAGAGCACATTGTCAATCAGGCAACATAAGATACATTAACAACTAGACTGTGGTGACCAATCTGATGACAGATAAATTACCCTTAAAACGATCATCAGGATAGACAGGAACATCAAAATATACCAATCCTCGCCGGTAAAGTCCTTTTACCACTTCAGGGTCAAAAAGAAAAAATGAATTCACTTCCTCCCTGCAAATTTTATCAATTGTGGCCATTTCTTCTTCAGTCAGTTTCTGCAGAAAGTGGAGCAATTAAGAAGACACAGCTCCCGTCACAATCAGAAAGAAAGTGAAGAGTTATGGAGCTAATTACACGTCAATGTTATGAATAGTTACATAGATTTGTAAGGGAATAAAATCATCCAAGATCTAACCTTGAATTCTTCCAAAGTAAAGTTGACAAGACAAACACCCCACCACGGCTCAATTAGAAAGTCTGCTGGTTGTGTAGGCAATTGTTCCTTGGCAATTGATTTGTTCAGCTTCCACATAATTTTCTGTCAAGCTCCAAACCATTTGTACTAAGTTAGACATAAGAAAAAGGAATCAATACCTTGGCACAATAATACATGAACAGGCGAAAAGGAAACATCCAACTATACACATCCATCACACGACACAAAGGGATGGGCTATTTAATAGGGCCAACGTCTTCAATGGGATGAAAAGCTAATGTTCTGTGGTCGTTTGACGAATAGGGCAAATCATGCAGTGATAAGATCTTTCGAAAGCAATCAGGAAAATATCTCTCAAACTCGGACGTGGAATGTTGGAAACAATGAAACTAGAAATGCAATGAGTAAACATTAAACAGCCTATAAAATGATATATTCATTTCAACTCCAACAAATTAAAATGTTAGTAGCTTGAAATTTCCTTTTTAAAAAATCAAGAGCCCCTTGTACGCATATCAAGTTTTGTCAAACTACGAAGTGTGTGGGTGTTGCAACTATGAAGTCTCACATGCATCATAAATGTACGGTACGAAAAAGTATAATATCCTTATGAATTGGTTTCATATTAAGAGCTTAAGGCAGTATCACTCATTTCTATTTTTCCCAGTCAATGCAATAAAAAAGACTATTAGCAATCCAGACCAGATTAAATTATTCTAGCCAGATTATGGTGAGCTGGAGTTAATTGTTCTGTAATTCTTTATTCGTGTTTGGTGATACTACGGATTCAGGAAAACAAAATAACTATCTTGAAATTGTTGGAAAAATTGAGAGGAAAAGGGATAATGTGCCATGTTGGCTTGAAGGAGTAGAGAAAAACCTGAGTCAGGATAGTATTGATTTTTTTGTCCAGTCTGGCATAAGCCCATCACAGACAGATTTATCCGGTACTATTGTACTAACCATAGTATCAAGCAGTACAAACACTCATACTAAAAATGATAATATCTGCACGTCTCATACGCCTCACCAAATGAGGCCATAACATAAAAGATATTTTAAAACACTACCTTAGACCTGCACTTGTTCATAATGTCGATGAATTCATTTCTTCCAATCCCAGTGAGGCGTAGTGCATCTGCAGCACTAAAATTTGGGATGCTGTCATAGGGTTGCTCTGCATGCAATGTAATATGAATAGGATGTGAGAAGAATAACTTAGTTCTAGATAATATAGCATAAAAACATTCAAACAACTAAGCCTCTTTGAAAACAAATGTTCCCCAATGAAAAAATTAAACACAGAAAAATAGTAAGATGTATACAGAACTAATAGGAAACAAGGATTTTGTGTAGATATCCTGAGTTAGAACAAATTGAAAAAAGAATAAGGAATTCTACTCAAGCATGACCTAGAGGTTAGAACACCTTATTGAAAAAGTACATTTGTGTAATCTTGATATGATATGTAGTATGTGAAAGCTAAGTAGAATAGATAGAAATAGCATAACCCTAGGTGCAGCTAATGGATTTTTAGTATCTTTTTACATAACTACTACCCTTAGTAAAACTCCTATACCTAAACAAGGGCATTGATAAACATTAAAATTAATGGAATGTGAATTAAAAAGCATTCTTTTTCTTGAGAAACCTCAAACTAGGAGACAGCATCTGTGTTTATGAGACCTAACTACCGGAGAATTGATTATTTTTAGAAAGCAAGGTCATGGACCTGAATGAAACCTCTTGGTGTATTTTCAAAATGTAAGGCAGTTTGTTTTACTGTTATACTGTAAGATCTTGCATGCATATGCATATGGCATACTATGAAAATATTGAGATATTACTTTAGGATCTAAAGAGTATGTGTAAATGAGAAAAGGTTTTAAAATAAAAATCTAAGAGGCTATACCATTTTTCATGACTTCAAATATCATATCGCAATAGTATCTGAAAGGAGACACTCGCATCACGCGGCAAATGTACTCTGCAAGATGATATGGGAACAACTGCAAGCAGCCAAGCAACACATAAGAACATGGATCAATTGAGATTGACACCAAAAAACAATTCCAAATTTTCTGGTTTAGGCAGAAGATCATTTGTGATAGCAAACTTCTTTATGGTTCTATTCATCATTAAGAACTATCAGTTTATACATTTTTTGTCATTGTTTCTCACATTTCAAGTAAATTAATTTTTAAAAATAAAAAATCTGATCCGGAACAAATGGGGTCACACCAAACTGCTGCAAAACATTTCTGGTTGTGATTCTATTCCAGCGTGGAGTAGGCATCGGTCAGCCTGAAACCAGACCCAAGCAAAGCAAGACCAAGTCCACTAATGCCTCAGTAATCCACGACCCCCCCCCTAATACCATTCTGTTACCTTCATAACCAACCCAATATGTCTCAACCAACATCGCCCCTCTCCAAGGGCCATGACCACTGGTACCAAGGTGAGTAGATTTAATCCAAAAGTAATATTAAAAATAACTAATTGTGTCTCAAACTCGTCCCTACTACCTCTGTCATCCCTAACTATCAGTGGACCAGTGGTCAAACCAACAACCATCCATAAAGTTATCTCATCCTCATCAAACTCATTGCCTTCATTGGGGATGGTATCACTGATTTGCTACATTTTATGCCAGAACTGATTATGTTAATAGCATAACAAACCACTCTACGTCTGTTAACCATCAGGGGCTGAAGCATGGCATACGGCATACCTCATTCTCCATGCTGACAATATCCTTCTTACTAATTCATCTGATTGTTTGTGTCAAGATATCATCTCACAGCCGAGCTCTCTTATCAGAAATATCCTGAGGAGATTATTGTCTAGGTCAACATGACTTCTTACAACCCTTAGGCCATGCATGTGGATAAGACAGCAAAGCTCAATGCCACCTCTGGCATGTTGATCCACTCTGAATTGTTCCTTTAGTATTTAGCACCTCACCTTCACTTGTCTGGATATCTCTTATGTTCTTCATTCATCCCACGAGTGATGTGCAAATAGTTCAATGCAGGCTTTGAACCGCATTTTACAATGCACACGCAGAAACCTAGCTCTCTATATACATCTCTTTCTCTCTTCTCTCAGCTTCTTCGTTGCCTGATAAAGACGGGGGAAGGTGCCTGGATACCCAAAACTCCACCATTTGCTACTGTTTGTTCCTTGGTGACAACCTTCTTTGAATCTTTCCTGGTCCTCAGTCCTCCAAACATTAGTCAACTATACCCCACTCGAGTCTAGAGATGGGATACCCAGGAGTGGCTAATGTTTCTGCCCAAACCTGAATGTGGTGTAAATCGTGTAATCTTCTCCTAGAACCGCACAGCCCTTTGGCAAAGCCACATTTGTTTATTGTGATATTATACGTGTCTTTTACTTGTTCGGTAATGTATTCAACATCAACACACAAAATGATTGAGATAGATATCCACTTTAACTCAGAAAAAAGTTGCTCTCTAACGTAATATAGTTTTTCATGTTCCCTCTCGCCATCAATGTGCTGAAATTTCACTTATGGGCTCCTAGTCTCCTACATCTCTTCTCTTTGAAGAGTTCTGATGCAATCTTAGTGTCCACCCTCCTCCTGCTTCAGCTAGGTGAGATAGAATATAAAATATATTATTGCACATTTTGATATTAACTGTAATTGTTTCTTCCATAGATATTTACAAAGTATAGCTTGTTGACCCATATGAGTAGTTTCCTATTGTAAGTCTAATATCTTTGTTCCCAATGCGAGCAATGAAAGCTTAACGGGTTCATATAAAATATAACCTCTATCACAAAATATGGTCATAATCACTATGTAGTTATAGTTTCATTCTGGATTCTAGATATTCCAGAGTATATCCATACCACTAATAATCACTAAAACCACTCAAGGAAACAAAACAATCATTTCAAACAATTATTTCTAAGTAGTGCAAAATCAGGTTTTTTGAACATATGTGGAAATCTATAATTCTATAAAGTCCTAATTAAGGTGGCATTCATAAGCATAACTGCATAGTAGATAATATCTCAACTCAGGTAGGAATTCAGTAGTAGTTTTGGTGGATGTATTATAATGTTATAGTACCTAGAGTTTCATATTAGAAAAGAAGAAGAAAGTATCACACATACTGATAAATTCCTTCGCAGATACCGCATCATCTCTTCATAGTATTCCCCTTCTTTGCATACTTTCCGAGCAAAACAACCATTCCACTGGAGTCTCCTCCTTATGCAGTGGTCGCTTATCCTGCAACAAGTTAAGTGAGAAATCCCAAGAGTGTCCTGATTAACTCTTGCCATTATACTTTATAGTGCCCGTAATTGAAACGTTAGGAGCACACAGAAGAATCTGTTTACACCAGTTCAGTCCTCCATTAATTTCAAACAAGGCCAGTTAGAAATTTCACCAAAAACATATCTACACTAGTCAACATTGGTGATAGTAACGCAAACCTTTTGTGCCATTCATCAACCGAATTAAAAGCAGCTTGGAGCCTCTTCGGCAGGCTTTCCCAAGGGCATTCTTCCCTGATCGCTTTCAGCATAAGCTGTTCTTCTATACTTGCCGGAACATGCAACATTTTGCTAACCCTAGCAAATCTCTCAGATATCTACACTACACAATCACATACTCCCCTCAAGCGATCTAAGCAAAAAAACCCACTGGATCAATTCAAGAAGATCATTGCTAAGCATCTAGCATACAATGAGATGAATTCGTTCCTACAAAACTCTACATTAACATAATTGGGGGGGGGGGGGGGGGGGGGNACTGAACAGAAAGGCCACATTCAATTAAGAGCTCACCGGAACTCCTCCGAAGGCGAGTAGAGACGTTTCAGATGAGGATCATCTGCTGCCCTTTAAGCTTGAATCTTCTTCGATTGTAAAAGAGTCAGAAAAACCTTGTCGGATCAAGCAAGATCTGTATGCTAGCTAAATTTGATTTGGATTGTATGGCCCGGGTGTACGGCCTTTTGTCCTCTTTCTTTTTTAGCCCCTTCGGAGTTCGGAGATATAAAGAAATGAAAAATTAGAAGGGATTGCACCTTGGCGAAGACAAGGATTCGTTTGATACACGGAATTGATAGAACTAGAATTGCATTGGAATTAAAATTACATGAGAATCAATTCCATAAAATTAAATTCATCAATTCCAATTCATTTTCTGCACTACTAATTCCAAATCCACATAATTTCTGTGCTACCAAACACGAAAATTGGAATTGAAGTCTTTAATTCCAATTTCATAGTTTGAATTTTTTGTACCAAACGGGGCCTAAGTGTTACTCCCTCCAAGTCCTAAAATATTCTTCTCACTTACTATTCACACGGTCAAACTTTAATCACTTTTTTTTACTTATTTTCATTAGGTATTTGATAAAATAATATAACTTTGTCACCACTTGTTTTGTAGAACTTTTGATGTACTTTTTAAATATATATAAATTTTATTTTTTAATTTTACACCTACAATCAAATAAATTGAATAAAAAATAAAGTCAGTCAAACTTCGTAAACAGAATCGAGAAGAACATTATAGGACGGATGGAGTAATAAATATAGCCAATTTCGATTCTTGGTAATTGTGTTATAAGGCAACTATGTTAAACATAACGTTGTTGCAAGTACGCACTGCAAGCTCCACTCTCTACTGCCAATATACGATTAAACTCGAATTTACATCATCTCAATAATCGTCCAACCGAGTCTGAGAAATTCCTCGAGGATAGGGCTCATTCTTTTTTAAGAAAAGAAAAATTTGAGTTTCGACACTAAAAATTACTCTGTTCATCAAGTGTTTCATACCAGACACATAGGGTCACTCTAGATGCAATGCTCCACTCTTTATCACCAATCTACTATCAAAGTTCAATTTATTTCTTTTCAGTGATCGTCCAGTCGAGTCTGAAGGGGCCCTCAAGGTGAGGCTCATCCTTTTTATAAAGACTTTTTAGGTGTCAAAGACAATTGCTATTTGAATGTAACTCTAATACTCTTTTCGTCCCCATTTTTATTATAATTTTATTTTATCTCTCTTTTCGATAAATTTTGTTTGTTTGTGTGTTTTCATTAATTATTTGATAAAATAAAATATTTCTGTCACCTCTTATTTTGTAAACCTTTTTATGTAATCTTTTAATATATATACTTTTTATTTCTTATTGATGTACTAATTTGTAAATAAAATAATTTCAAAAATAATGGGATTTCACCTTGTAATTCCATTTTGTAAAAAAAGGATGGAGAAAATATATTTCATGACAAATTTTATAAGTTTTTAACATGATTCTAAATTTGGTGGCCAATATTTGGGCTTTGACCGTTTGTGCTAGTAATTTGTGAATGATTGATATATTTAGCTATTCTAATTAGTTGTTTATTACTCCGTTGTTGATTGCTAAAAATATTTAGTAAGTTACATGACTCTAAGAGTTTGTTTGGGAGTGATTAACTTCTGGATAAAATGATCTTCACAAAAGCTGAAAGCAAAAGCACCTCATACTTGCTTCTCCAAAACGGTGTTCTGTGTATAAAATAGTGGTGGTGAAAAGCAAAAGCTGACATGCCAAACAGAATAAAATCACTTCCACTCAAAGCAAAAGCTAAATTACTAAAAGCAGCGCACTGCCAAACACCCTCTAAATTACTTCATAGTTTCTAGCATGACTCTAAATTGTACGAGTATGATTCAAATTTAAGCATTTTGAATACAATTTTTGTTTTTTATTCAATTTGAGTGACGAATAGAGCAATGCTAGGGGTACACCAAAAGGTGTACCCCAAATGTACACCACCTTATTCTCCACCACACATTTTTATTTGATTTTTATTTACTTATTTTTTTTTAAATTTTTTTGCCTTTTTTAGTGGACAAGGAGGGGGTGGGGTACATATGACGAATAAAGTACACCACGTGCAAAGTTTATTACTCCCTCCGTCCCAAATTTGATTACAAATTGCGAGTTACGGAATAAGATTTTTTACTTTTTGAAATATTTTATTTACAAATTGGTATATCAATAAGATATAAAAATTACATATTAAAAAACTGCGTCAAAAGTTCTACAAAACAAGAGGTGACAATAATATTTTATTTTATCAAATACTTAATAAAATCGCATAAACAAACAAAAGTTATCGAGAGGAGAGAAAAAAAATTATAATCTATTTAGGGACGGAGGGAGTATGATGATATCACGTCATGTGTCATGTCATGTCACACCAATATTTACATTAAGTTATGATGACTTTTACTCCCTCCGTCCCAAATTTGATTACAAATTGCGGGTTACGGAGTAAAATTTTCTACTTTTTGAAATTATTTTATTTACAAATTGGTATATCAATAAGATATAAAAATTACATACTAAAAAACTACGTCAAAAGTTCCACAAAATAAGAGGTGATAATAATATTTTATTTTATCAAATACTTAATGAAATCGTGTAAACAAACAAAAGTTATCGAGAGGAGAGAAAAAAAAATTGAAATCTATTTGAGGACGGAGGTAGTATTATATTTTGTATAAAGCCTTTCATTTTTCAACTATTCTACAAATTTGCATTTCACCATTGTAAGAGCTTTTATTTTTACCTAATCTCATTAAAATACGTTCTCATCAGAATATACAGTTATATTTAAAATTGTTTCTGATCTAGTGTAAAGTGATTTTAATAAGATTAAGTAACATGGAGTAAGTAATAAGAAAAGATTAAAAAGAACAAACTTTAAAAATATTTTTTTAGTATGTATAGTTATTTTATAAAAAAAATAACTTAACTTTCTTTATACATTCAAAAATAAGGTTCTTGTTAACTATTTACATGATCAAACTAATTTAGCTTTTTTTATACATTCCCATCATTCTTTTGATAAAATAAATTAATCATGTCATCCTTCAAAATAGATTTTTGTTTGTCATTTTGATTCAGACCAATATTTTTTTAGTGTTTTTTACTATATTACAATGTAGTATATGTTTACTAATAGTAATTGAATATTAACATTAAAACTAATATTAATCAATGAAATACAAATTTTTAATTAATTAAGACTACTATTAATTGAAAATTAGTTTATGATTTTTAACTTTTTGAACAATCAATCAAATACAAAAAACATTTAAAATTTACTTGATATCCAAATTCGATTTTATATTCGAAATTATTATACCAATGAGGAAAGAATTAAGCTATTTGTACATCAAAACATGTACCTCATTTAGTCATTTTGTACCCCAAAGACATGTACTGATATTTTATGTTAGTGTGATGTTAGACATTGATAAAGAATGTCAATACAAATTTTTTAAGTGAACTAATATTTTGTGTCGGTGTGAACCGTTAAAATGTCAATACATTTCTTTAAGTTATAATTGAGATATACTTTTTGGTTACCCAACATGCTTGAAGAGGAAATACTTGGTAATATTTACGGAGGTCAACGGGCGAACGCCGGAGAATCAATTTTGATATCAAATTGGTTTGACTCGATCTGTTCAAAAAACATGGAGTAAGTCTAAAAACGTCTAGTCATCATCATCAGAATCACACACATATACGGAGTACTTCCGTATCATTTGTTCTCATGTCTTCTTTTCCCCTTCAAAATAGGGTATAAATTTTACACTTTTATTCCGTAATTTCAAAAAACTTTAAGTACCAAATTCAAAATGCAAACTATGGCTGAAACTTTTTCAAAAAAATGAAATAGAAAAATGAAAAATTCATTTTTAAGAAAAAAGGTTGAGAAAATATAAATTTCATTTTAAGACATCTAATAATTGAAGGTGTAAACTTTACCTTATAAGGAAGGAAGCATAAGAGCATACTCTTTTCTCATTTAATTTGTTTTTATAGTATGGTTTATAATATTTGATTGATATTATTTTTTATTTTATTAATAATTGGTGTAAATAAAGAATTTAATTTTATCAAAATATATACTCACTACAAAATAAGAGTTGATACAAATATATTATTTTATCAATGTAAGTTATAGGTAAAAGTATACAGAATATAAAGAAAAAAGTAGTTCTTGACCACATAAATAATCTTCCTTCACCCTGCAAAATGTTTTGATTTTAGGAAGAGAATTTGTAGAAATTTGACCAAGCTACAACGAAAACAATTTAAACAAGTAGAATTTGGGAAATTTTCAAATAAATAGGGCATATTGTCATATAAGATAATCAGGGTAGATTGAGGCAGCGCTCCGTTTAATTTATTTTTCTGCTTATTATTCATTATTATCATAATGATATCAGATCAGAAACAGATTTAATTATCATTGCAATAAGATAATATCAGACCAGATCAAATCATATTTTCAAAAAATCAAATCAGACTATATCAGGCAAACAGAATGCAGCATGAGTTAGATTTAAGAGAAGTAGAAGCATATATATTCATTTTGGCCAAATAGATTTTTTTTTGGGATAAGTAAGAAGTGTAAGTAAAAATGATTTGTAAGACGGACGAAGAAAAGTAGAGACATTTTTCCTTAGATATGATGTGATGAGCCTCTGTGGCTCTGCCCGCCGGCGGGGCTAGGTGGCTATCTCTGTGCTTGCCCGACGAAGAAGAAGGTGTTAGTCGCCAGATCTATGCGTGCTAAGTCGTATCTTTGGTCACATCGCACGACCGCCGCCACTAACGGAATTTGCATATTATTTGAGTTTAGATTTTTTTTCATTTCTATGAAATTTTCGTTGTTGACATTATATATTGACATATTTGTCATTATACATGACATGTTTATCACTATACATTGTTATCTTTAACATTGTACCTTCAATTGACATTGTATTTATACTTTTTTTAAATTGTATTTGTGTTATTTACCTCATTTAGGGCCTGTTTGGGAATAGCTTTACAGATTAGCGTTAGCGTTTTGGATAAAATTTTAACGGTGCAGATCGCTTTGAAAACGCTAACGCTAAACGCTGCCCGTAGATAGCTTTTTCAAAACGCTAAAGCTGTTCCCAAACAGGCCCTTAATATCTTACTTAGCTTTGTATTTAACTACTTTATATCTTGATTCAAAGTTAGAC